GACAATGTTTTAAGTTACTTAAGGTTTTGCTACAGACTGGACTGCTTTGGTAGTTAAGAATGAAGAGATGAGAAGCAGCTCCGTACTTGAACCCCTTGAATCAATGGGATGTAATACTTCTCTATTTTGCTGTTACTGTCAAAAATCCAAACTTAAATTCTGAAAAGCGCACGCTTTTTTTCAATGAAAGACTCAAAGGAATGCTCTGAAACTGATACCGGGGCAGCTTTGCCCGTGGTCCTGCAGGATGAATAGGACAAGGTGTAAACCATTGTCACCTTCTTGGGTAGTTACTCTACCTCATTCTGCAGTTCCAGCACTTGATTATTGGAACTATTTTAAAATTGTCTTCTAGTAACGTTGTAGTCATTTGACTAGTAAGCGTTAAGACTTTGCCATGAAATTCATTGCAATAATCCTTGATTGCAGAAGGGTAGTATGATTCTCTCTCTTCCATAGTGTTGTTTTAATTAGCAGCTCTGATTGTCATGGTTTCAGTCAAAATCACCGCAACTGGACGGACAGATGGCCCTTCTCCCCCTCCCCCAAAAGAGGAGGGGAAGAGATGAGGAGATTCAGAAGTTTAGAATGAACTAAACTACTTTAATGAAGAATTAATATTAAAACAAAAAAGAAGAAAATAATGAAATAGATATAATATATACAAAACTGTATCAGGCTCCCAGGATGACAGTCCCGTCACCAGCAGGCACTGGGGAGGTCCCAGACTGGACTCAGTGATGGTTGGGAACTGGGTTCCAGCTCTGGAGTCAGGAACACATGGATGGGGATCAAAGGCAGATGAACAGACAGGGTCCTCTTTGGATGTTGGCCATCGTAGGAAGAGAGTTGATCTTTGATCCCTCAGCTTTCATACTGAGCATGGGGCAGATGGGATGGAATACCCCAGTTGGGCAGGTTTGGGTCACTGGTCCTGTCCACTCCTCCCCACACATGTGACCCCTCTACGTTTTTCCATTTCCGACCCTCTAAGGGGCAAATAACAAAAATTGGCTGACCTTGGTTGTTATAGCAAGGCCTATAAGCAAGGGCCTCTCTGCACACCATCCCTGGGCGTGGAGCACACACATTGGTCTTACCATTCTGAGAACGAGCAGTTTTCCTCCACAATATGCCATTAATTTCAGAGACTTACAGGAGGTCTAGCTAAAATGTAAAATTACAGAACTGGGCGTGGAGCACACACATTGGTCTTACCATTCTGAGAACGAGCAGTTTTCCTCCACAATATGCCATTAATTTCAGAGACTTACAGGAGGTCTAGCTAAAATGTAAAATTACAGAACACAACATTGGTTTGATTTTACTTCAAACCGGGACACTGATGCATCCAAGAACTCCTGCCACAACTGACATCTCAAAAGGGTTACTTCCTCTTTCCTCTTGTACTTGGGCTCCTTCAACTTTTTATGAGAAGGTGCCTTTTACCAAGGGGCTTTTTGTAGTGGTCCTGGGGCTGCTTATGTTGGCTGGTGTAAAACGTGTGTATGTGCAGTGTTCTGGTGGGAAACCTCAAGAGGAACTTCCCCCACTTATTTTGGACAAATAGCTGGATCCAGCAAGCTATTAAAATTAAACCAGTTTAGATAACTCAAAAACGTTTTTCTTGCTGAAGCTATACAGATAAAAAGGGAAAGATGTGAAGTTATCAGCAAGAGCAAGCATAGCGGAGAATAGTTTTGATTAATGAAGACCAGCAAAAATAAAACAAAGCAGCTGAATGTGGCAGTGCAGCTTGAAGGTAAATAATTGTGTCCCATTCTTATTCAAGGTTTTTGGAGTAATACTTGCAAAACAAGTGAACAGCTGAGGAATGGAATCTAGAAATGTTTGTTTGAAGTGAGTAAGCTGCCAGAAGTCATCACGGGAGGTGTTCAGCTACTGATAGAGTTTTAACAAACCACAGACCGTGTTAGTAAAGAGTTACTGGCAGCGTGGGATGGGTTTGGTTTTTTTTACTGCCCAACAAGTAGCAGTGACACCCTCATGCTGAGAGCCTGCAGACCAAGAACTGGAACTCCTGGGCTGGGACAGGAACTCTCCAGTTCCTTTTGGCAGAGGAGATGGTGTCCAGGGCAGACTTGCCTCTGGAGGACACAAAGCGACACCCTGGTTGTCCTGGTGCTTGTACTGACCACAACCTGAGCACCACCTTGGCTTGGTGCTTAGAGCAGATGGTGGGGTGGGGTTTGTAAGGCTGATGTTCCTCCTTGTGTACCTCACACCCCACCCAGTACCTCTAGTGTTGGGGAAGGGGGCATTATGGTGGCAGGGGAAGGTGGGGAGAGAGGACTGGACAGACTTGCAGCTTGGTTCTGCTGATGGAGGGAGAGCTGCCTTGTTCAAAAATGTCCTTGGTTATTAAAGGGCTGTGGTAAGATAAAACTTGAGGGAGTAGTTCTAATAGTTGACCAGAAAACTTTGATTGGATTTCCTGTGGCTTCTGTTAAAGGGAGGGGACAGATGTTGGCTGTTCAACTCATCCTACCAGCTGAAGGAACTTCAGTCACCAGAGCAGTGGAGTCTGACAAACACAAAGAAAGGACCTACAGGAAAGTAGCTGGAGAAATGACTGTGTTTGAAGCTAAACTGACCCAGCAGCAGCTGGGTGTAGTGTGGCAGAGAGATTCCCACTGCTGAACAATAATGTGAGTTTTAGTGTATCTGGAGGTGGGGGAAAACCAGTGCTGAAGGTGAGAGAAAGTGCTGCGTGTCCTGAACGTGCTGTGCCCCTTGCTAAGGGACAGCAGTTCAGGACTAGTGGTTCCACGTGTCTCCAGCAAAAAACAAAAGTCTTCACTCTCTGAAGCTGCATTCTGAGGAGTAGCTGAATAAATGGTCTGAGTGCCAGTTGATGATGAAGAATAATTAAGCTCTTTACTCTTTCAAAAGTGTGCCACAGAAAATCAGGAAAAGGAGGAAGAGGTTGCTCTTTATTCTAGAGTAAGAAATATGTTCACTTAAATCAGGAATACTTTGTTACTAAACATGTTCTAGAAGCATTTAAGTTGAAATTGATAATTCATTAGTGAAGGGTCTACCAAAATGTGTAGGGAAATGGAATTAATTAGGTTTCTGGGTTCTTGCTGTTCTCATCACTGAACAAGTAGCTCAGTTAAGACCTAGTGAAGCTTTCGCTTTTGTCCAGCTTTGAAAATCTTTTCCATTTTACATGAATATTGGCCAAGAAGCATCCTCGTCTGTGTCAGCAGGACTGGGGCACTGACCATCCCCCTGAACTGGGCACTGATGAGGACCCACCATGAGTGCTGTGTCCAGTTTTGGGCCCCTCACAACAGGAAAGACATTGAGGGGCTGGAGCGGGTCCAGAGAAGTACCACAGAGCTGGTGAGGGGTCTGGAGCACAAGTCTCCTGAGGAGAGGCTGAGGGAGCTGGGGGGGTTCAGCCTGGAGAAAAGGAGGCTGAGGGGAGACCTTCTGGCTCTCTCCAACTCCCTGAAAGGAGGGTGTAGAGAGGTGGGGGTCGGTCTCTTCTCCCAAGTCACAGGTGGTGGGACAAGAGGAGATGGCCTCAAGTTGCCCCAGGGCAGGTTTAGGATGGATATCGGGAAAAATTTCTTCACCAAGAGGGTTATCAGGCACTGGAACAGGCTGCCCAGGGCAGTGGTGGAGTCACCATCCCTGGAGGTATTTAAGAAGCTTGTAGGTGTAGCACTGAGGGACATGGATTAGTGGTGGCCTCGGCAGCGCTGGGTTTGGGGTTGAATTCTTAAAGGTCTTTTACAACCTAAATGACGCTGTGAATATGAGACCTGTTCTCCCTTTTATCTCTGCCTGTATTTTAGCTGGTTTTAGTTTAAAACAAAGATTACAAAACAATCTTAGAAGCCAGCCAGCCCACCCCAGCACCCCCTGTCCCCAGGCAGAGCAGTGGCACACGGAGCTGCTCTTCCAGCGCGGTGGCTGCTCCAGTCAACCCATGGGGGTTGGATCAGATTTGTGTTCAGTACCTTCAAACTTCTCATGGCTGTCACCTCCAGCTGGCTTGGAGGACGTGCTGTGACACCACCACTGTTGCTGAAGGGACACGGGGTGGCACTGTCTGATTCAACCAGGCTGAGAGAGAGCAACACAAGGGAATGTTTGGCATTTCTTAGGGGGGAGGCGACGTCCCTGACGTGCCTCATGTAGGGTTGTCCCAACGTGCTTTCCTTAGAACCTGCTGCCTCCTCATCCCTTCCCCTTGGGTGGGAATGCAGGAGTGTGCATGTGCTGTCTGTAGCTTTGCAGGCATCCTTACAGGGGTGAAGGTTGACATTGCACTGAATGGTGTCACAGGAGTGGGATGTGGCTTTGGGGATTATATACAGTATATATTTATAGTGAAACTTGGAAGTTCAGGGCTTTGGGGTTGGTACGAGTGCAGTAAGCTATGCTTTCTTCATTCATTTTGAATACTGTTCTACAATTAATCCATCTTAACCTGCCTTACGTTCAGAAAATAATTGGATAAAGCTTCTTAATTCTCTGCCGGACTAGCATTATTTATTTATTTTTTTAAAACAATTCTAAAGTAGCTGTGAGCAGCTCGTGTGTCCTTCATCTCAGTTGGATCTGTGCTATTTGACTTTTGATTAGTGCTCTGCAAGTTGCTAATAATGAGGTCGTCTGGTTTAGGGAAAAGCTGAATTTCAAGTGCAAAAGCGAGGCTGTTTTTTTGGGAAGGCTCCAGGTACAGTTTCAGATAGCCATAAATCAGCGGGCAGGAGTCTGCTGTAGTCAGATACACCCTATCCACCATCTGATGTTTAAAATTGTGTTTAAAAACTTTTAAAACAGTTGTGCAAAGTTGTGTAATTAAGGGGTAAGGATTTCTGTTCAAAATCACTTGGCTGAAATATTGCTGCTCTTTGACATGTTAAATGATGCTAGTGGGGAAGGCAGTGTGAGGGCTGATTTCTACAGGTGTCTTCAGCTGCACTTAAACTCTAATTCAGTATCTCTTTTTCTCTCCCTAGTACTTTTGTCCATCTGTTCTCTGTTGTGTGATCCCAATCCAGATGATCCTTTAGTGCCTGAGATTGCACGGATCTACAAAACAGATAGAGAAAAGTGAGTATGGAAGCCAAAAACTACGTAATATTCTTGACAGAGCAGAACTTATGCTTTAATAGTAAAGGGGAACTGAAAGGACCTGCTTCTTGGAAAAGAGAGTGAACTTTGATTTGCCTTTTTCACTTTAACTGTGGTCTTTTCAGAGATTTTTCCTGGGATCTGGAGCACAGCTATTTTAGCATTTCTGTAGGAAGAACCTATATAGGCCAGTAGAAGTGAGGGATGTAGAGAGGCCACTTCTGTGGGTTTGTTACTGCTTTTTTATTCCACACAATGGTCTTTCATTAGTGTTGTAGCTGTTAATTACAGGTGTTTCGTGATTTAATGAAAATGCGAAGTGAATAATGCAAATCTGTTCCATATGGAGCTCTTAAGTTGAATGTGGCCAGCCTTTAAGAGCCCTCACTGCCTGCTTTAATTCCACATAACCAGCAGAGGGAGAACAAGTTACTCTAATGGGAGAATATTTCCATCTAGCTATTGGTGATAGATAGTCAGACAAGCAAAGAAATACCAAAAATACCCTGTTTCATCGTCATTTTACAGCACAAGGGCAGAACAAGGGGTGTAGAGGCGGGATGGGAGGGCTCCGAGCTCCTATGAAGTAAACAACGAGAATGGAGAGAACTCTAGAACCACTAATGACAAGATTTAAATTGCTTTCTTTAAAAGCAACAGCTTAATGACCGTTGTAAATGCTTTTCTACCTCACTGTTCCCTTCCAGATGTGATCAGTAGTGTTAATTTCTGAAGCTACACGGTCACCTGATGAGAAGGAGATAGGAAGGAAACTTGCTTACTCTGCTGCATACTTGAGGAGCAGTGTTAGAGGAGTTCATGCATCCTGTTTTTAATGAGAGCTGCAAGAGTAGCAGTACGTATTTCGAGACGCAGCCCAGAGTGACTGACTGCACTTAAATATATGCAGGACTCTCACCTATTTTTTTCCAAAAATAGGAAGATAAATTCCAGCCCAAGAACCTAGTCAGTGCACGTAACTAGGAAGCTCTTTGCTCTAAGTGTCTTAAGATTTTCCTACATATTCCGAAGAACAACTTGTCTCATTGTCAGAAATAAGCTTATATCAGTGCTGTTAATCACAGTGGTTCACATCAATATCCTCAGCTTCCTCTAGCTCTCTGGCTACAGAGAGCATTTGGGTGCAAAAAGCTGCAAGTGGCTTGGGAAAAGGAGCGTATTATGCCTTTGGGATGAAAAAAAAAAAAGTCTGGTGGATAAATTGGGATGTCCTGGTGGTCACTGAAGTAGCCAATATAGCGTGAAAGAAGCCTGTCAGGGTTTGGCAGCCCAGCAGAGTCAGGGACTAGGCTTCGCTTTCTAAGGGAAGAAGAAGAATGAGGCGGGAGGGAAACATTAATCTGTTTTTTTCCAGAATTTTTTCCTCACTTGCAGTGAGGTTCCCCGGGGATGTGGCGGTTGGGGGCTGGGGAGGTGCAGGCGAAACACTGCTCAGGATCACATGAGCCCTGTTCTGTGGCTTGGATCGTGCAGATCTCCTATTCCTGTTGTAAACATGGCTGCTTGTTTCTTTTCCATCAAGTACCGTGGCCTTTCTTGTTTCCCCTGTTTGCCTGATAGTTCAGTTTGCTCTTAAACTTTACAAATTCATGATAGTACTGGAGAAAATGTAGTCTAGACTGCTGGAGCTGGAATGCTGTTGGGATGTGATGTTAAGTAAATCCTCTTTTTGTACATACAGGTACAACAGAATAGCTCGGGAATGGACTCAGAAGTATGCGATGTAATTAAAGAAATTATTGGATAACCTCTACAAATAAAGATAGGGGAACTCTGAAAGAGAAAGTCCTTTTGATTTCCATTTGACTGCTTTCTATGAGCCCACGCCTCATCTTCCCCTGTGCACATGTTTACCTGATACAGCAGTGCTGCGTGTTGTACATACTTGGAACAACAAAATAGAAATACTGTATTTCCCCGTACCAACATTGACTCCTAGCAGAGAAGTGTGTGTGTGAAAAGCTGGTTCTTCAGTCATAACTTTGTGAGCCTAAAAGCATTCCCTGTTTGATTTAAATTGGGTAATAAAATGTGAAGGGGAGAGTTATGGTGGATTTCATATTTCTAGGGATGGTGTTGCTGATCCATGAAGGCTTTTAAGTGGAATCCTTTTAAACTCATAACAGTTATGAAAAGCAAGGTGAAGAACTTGAAGCTGTTTCTGTATTCATTTTATTCTGAAGGACCTACACCTTAGGTAAATGTTATGACCAATGAGATAAACTGTACCCACATCCTGTGTTTAAGGTCGAAGTTTAACCGGTCAACATTTAAATGGATTGGAGCTATTAGTGCATCAAGTGATGTTGATTTGTTTCAACTCTCTCCCCTCCTTCATACTTTTTTTGGTTTGTATGTGGTTTCTCAGTTAATACATAGCTAATAGCTCTTATTTTTCTTAAGTTTTTTTTAACTGCTTAGGTCTTTCTGGATGTAAGGGTGAAAAAAAAAAAATATCCATTTGACAGAAAACTTGTGTATATTTAAAGACCCAGCCGCTCCCCTGGAGCTTGTACGTTCAAGAATGATTAATCTGTGTAATAAACTGATTACTACAGTCATTACATATAACTTTGTGTGAATAGGCTTTTAATTTTGAGAGCAGTTTGTTACAGGCTAAAACTAATGGTGGATCTCTCCAACTTTTGCATTGGCGACTGGTTTGCGTTTGGAAGTCATGAAGCGGTTTGGTTTGCATCACACCAGGCTTTTGCACCCCAACAGGACAAACATAAGCTTAAGCACTTCCGTGAAATCAGGATGTGTAGTGTGCCAGGAACTTGACTGTTAAACCAAATAAGCAGTTTACTAAAGGAGAATCGGAGTGACATTTTTATGAAGCCTAACGGTATTATTCCCACTTGCATGGGACCTAACACAATGCATATGTACTGTAGGTAAGTGAAACCTTCTGTAACTAAAATAATGGATGTAAAAGGGTAAAAAAAAAAAAAAAGGAAAAAACCTACCAAACACATCAGCACAAACTTTCATAAAATGTAGCTTTTACATAATTACTTTGCACTAAACATTTGCAAATGTTCATACAGTTTTAAATTGTACTTGTATGTGTCTTTTTTTTTTTTTGAACAAAGTCTTCACTTGAATCTAGGGGGAAAAAAAAAAAAAAAAAGGAAAAAACCTACCAAACACATCAGCACAAACTTTCATAAAATGTAGCTTTTACATAATTACTTTGCACTAAACATTTGCAAATGTTCATACAGTTTTAAATTGTACTTGTATGGGTCTTTTTTTTTTTTTGAACAAAGTCTTCACTTGAATCTAGTGGGAAAAAAAAAATAATAATGTAGTTTGAAACTTTTCTTTGTATACAAGTGTATTTGCCAGCATCGTTGGTGTGAAATAGGTGAGTCTGCAAGTTTATCTCCTCTTAGTAGAATTGTAAACGAAGCCATCGACTATGATGGAGAGGCTGCGGCCTCCAGCTCTCCGGCCATGGGGCTCCGGCCCAGCCATTCCCAAATGCATCTTTACACTCTTGCACAAACGAGGAATAAATGTCCACTGCTTTTGGTCTAAACCTGTGCCACTTGTCTCATCTCTCCATGTCCTCGTGTCCTCCGCACCTCCGGATGGCCATGTTGGCTGTGTTTCTTGGAGGCCTCTTGGCAGCAAGCTGTAGGTGAACCCGGGCGCAGTGAGGGACACCGCGGTGGGGACACTGTGGCTTTGGAGTGGCGGAGCTTTAAAAGCTCAAAAAGCAATGGAGCGTGTGGCTGAGTGACAGCAGGGGTGGCAGTTACAGGGAGGGGGAGAAACACTCTGCAGGAGGAGGAACCTGGGCACTGGGTCATCTTCAACCCTTGGCGCTCCTGCGTTGTGCCACAAGGTGTTGGTGTCTCCTGGTTTAGGAAGCGGAAGGGTGGCTTCTACACTGAAGTATGGCCATGGATAAAAACTTGTGTGGTCAAAACCAGAGCGTGAGCTGATGGCTGCTGGTGTCCCTTGGGTTTGTGTTAACTTGTCACCGTGCCTGGCACGGAACTGCTCCAGTGGGCAGGGTCATGCTCCTGCCAGACCAGCTGTGACCCAGGGAGAGAGGTGGTGGGGTCATGTCCCCGAGGCCCTGCAGCAGGGTCACCAGGTATCAGGTGTGGAAAGTGCAGGGAGGGTGGGTTGGAGCGATGGCAAACCTTGCAGCACCCTCATCTTGGGGGCATTCCCCTTGACTTCTTGAGAAGTGAGCTGCTGGAGAATGATTTTTGTGGTGGATTTGGCTGGTTTTTGGCATTGGCAGTCGGTGGAAGAGCTCGGAGGCCTGGAAAGGAGAGAGAAGGGAGCAGGAAGGAGTGTGAGGTGGAGGACGATGGTTTCCTGTTCTGGCGGGGTGATGCTCCCACACGTTGGGTGACAGGAGAGTGCTGCAGGATTGAAACAGCCCTGGTCGTTACAGCAGCTTCAGCCTGGATGGTAATTAACGCATGAATGGTAATTAACGCATCTGCGTGTGCTGGGACCATGGTCTCGTGCTCGCAGTGAAGTGTGTGACCAGGTGGGACGTTCCTGCCGGTGGTGAGACAGTTGTGGGACAGTAAGACCAAGTCTGGTGACCCTAGAGCAGGGAGGGTGTTTGCTGGCCGTGTGTTGGGGAGGGTTGGGCTGTGAATGAGATGGAGCCTTTTTTTTTTTTTTTCTAAGATTTAGCTTAAAACGTGTTCCAGCTTAGCCTTTTCTGGGACTAGAAACCTGTTCTTTTGAAACCGTGGTGTATGTTCTCATGTGAAATGGCACAAGGAGCTCTCGTTGCCTTTCTAGGAACTCTGAGCTTGTCACTTCATGAACTTTTTCAGTCCCTGTCCAATTTATTTTTTTTTTTTACTCGATTTGGTATTTTAATTAAAGTACTTCACTGTGTGGCTTTTTTTTTTTTTTTTGCGCTGGGCCTTCTGTGGCTGTAGATGGTATGTGCCATTTCCCTTTCTCTTTTTTCCCCGTCACGTGCTAAGCAAATGTGTTTTATTTGTAAATAAATAAGAACAATGCTAGTCTGCTTAGCTCCCCCCAGCTCTGGCAGTGCTGTGGGGCTGGAGGGCTGTGCCTGGGTGCGTTGACGTGTTCCTCAGCGCCCCTCGACTGCGACAGGGCCAAGGGAGGACAAATCGCCCCAGGTCCTGGAGCCGAACCCCGTGTGAACGTTCCCTCAGCAGCCGGGGGTGTTTGGGACGTGCCGTAGGGAGTGTTCCTCTAACCCAGGTTCTCAGGGGCTCATGGGTGGGGGAACAGCTCACACTGGCCCAGCTCCCCACGCAGGGGTTGCCCGTTTGGCTTCAAGGTTGCCAAGGCTTGGAGTGCCACATCCATGGGCTGGGATGGAGCTGATTGGGGGCAGTGCTGGAGACCTGGCCACTCTGCGTGACACGGCTGGCGTGTCCTTCGGTAGGACGTGCTGCCACACTTCTTTGGTAGCTTTTTGACAGAGCAGGAGTGATTTATTACTTTTTGTGGAGTGTTACTGCCTTGCTATAGCAATGCTTTCCAGTAAGCTGCATCCTGAAGCATCTACAGACTCTTCTGTCTGCACCCATCAAGTGGTGGAGAAAGACCGGTGGGACGAGGCTGGGTGTGACCTTGTGTCCCTGGTGTGCTCAGGAAAGGAAACCACGACCTGTTCCTTGCCACCAAAGGCTGTGGCTGCCCTCACTTTTGGTTGCTGCTGCTGACAGAAATGTTGTGTTTTCTGACGGTCCCCATCATCTTCTTGCTACTTGCAGCAGTCAAAGGGCTCTAGAGCTGTTCTTGTCCCCAGCTGTGGTGTGCAGTGGAAGATCAGGAGCCCAAAGGAAGGACAATGGGAAGCGTGTTGCCCAAGCTGAAGCTGGTTTTCCTCATGCCCTGAGCAGCTGTTGCTGGGGAGAGCATGGCAGTGCCCTGGGTGTGTGGGACACACAGAGGAAAGCTGCTCAAAGAGGTTAAAACCTACTCTTCTGCGTCACCTTGCTCTGAAGAACCAGGAGAACATAAACCAACGTGCCCAGCGCTTCCACCCCAGGTGGAGGAATCCTTGGGCTGAAGCTCCTGCAAGAAGAAAAGCCCCATGGCACGTTGGAGGAGGAGGAAAGCTGTCCTCTAGAGGACCTTGGAGCAATGTTGGCTCTCTCCTCCAGCACTGGAGAGCCCTCCCTCCCTCTCCCACAGAGAGCTGGAGAAGTGTTTCATCCCCCGGTTGTTGTTTCCTTCCATTCCTTGGCTCCTTTGTGTAGACCTAGAGGAGATCAGAGTTGGGAATCTTCCTTGTTTGGGAGCTTGGCAGAAGCTGTTTCCTACAGGGACAAGAAAGGTGTTTGAGGGCACCTGATGGAAGGTTAAAAATGAGGGGGAAAAAACCCCTGCTCTCCAGTTTGTGGATGTGTGGAGACTGGTCCCTGCCTGTGCCTGGCTCCGTGCTGAGGGCTGCTGTGCTGCTGTTGTGTGTTGTGATTTGATCACCATTAAATAATTCCCTTAAACTTACTGTGGCTTTGATTGCTTTTTGTTTTGCTTTACCTGTGCCTGTTTTTTTCTTTTTTAATTTATTTTTTTGGCTCATTTTGTTTTCTTCCCCCTCGTGACTGTTCTCTCCCTCCTCCCTGGGGCTCCGGGTCTGTGCTACCCTCTGCTCAGCCGCCTCCAGTCCCCTTCATCTTGGTTTTTGCTTGATTTCCTGAAAAGCCTGGCTCTCTCCCTGGCCGGGGGCTGTGCTTTTGGGCAGCGTGGTGCCCTGGTGCCCTCACCCAGCCCAGCGCTGTCCCTCTCCTTGTGGGAGGCTGTGATTTCCCAGCGAGCTGCTGCCACCTCCTGTGTCCTTGGTTCAGTGTCCTCGCTCTTACACCCTGGTGCCAACCCCACAGGACTTCGCTGGTGGTCACCAGGGCCATCCTGACCATGGAGGGCGTCCCACCACTCACCCTGGTGGCTTCATCCCCCCCCCGATTTGGCATAGGTTTGATTTCACTGTGTTTGTGCCTCTCGACATCCCTCCTCTTCCCTTCCCTGTCTGAGAATATTTAGTCTTTATTGTCACGTAGTTTGATTGAAGCATCTCGGGGTGGGTGGGGATGGGACATATGTACAATTCTTGCCTTTTAATGAACAAACATATTTATAACAAATACTTGTTAACGGATAAATCTCTTTCCAAGTTGCTCAGCAAGAGATTTATGGGTGAGTTTGTCTGGGCAGGTTGCTGGGCTGTATGTCCTCCTTCCGCGCTCCCAGCTGTGGGGAGAAGTCGTCCAGCTCCTGTTGATGGAATCTCGTGCTGGTCCAGAGCTACTCACGGGTGGCTGTGGGTCTGTGGGGCCTGGGGAGCTGGCTCGGGGAGTAATCATACCAGGTTTGCTGAAGGACCAAGTCACAGGGTGTGGATGCACCTTGGAATCTTGAATAAACTGGGAGCTGACGTTCGTGTGGTCACAGTGTGGTCACTGTTGGATCTCAGGCTCTGCCCTGCCTTCCTGCCAAAGAGAAGTCATGTTTATTGGCAGGGGATCCAGCTGGACCCTATTCTTTCTCTAGCAGTGACCAAAATAAAAGGATGGGCAGCTGTGATGCTTGATCTGCACTTGTTCCCAGCTGAAGACAGTGCTTTGGGTGGCCTTGTGTGAACGCGTCCTCTCTGTCCCTACGTTTGCAATCTCTTCTTTGTCCACGTTTGATCCTGTTGATCTGAAACCCAGAGGTGCTGGTGATGATGGTGGGGCTTGGGGGAGGCAGAGCTTCTTGTGGGTGGTCAGCCAGGAACAGTTGGATGGAGGGAGCCTGGACAGCTTGGAATGGCATCATCGCTGAGAGCTGGTGTTATAACAGAATGGCCGTTGCCCTCCTGCCCTAGAAAGCTCTGCTGGTGTGTGGTGCCCCTGATAAACGAGTATTTTTTTCTGAACTGAAGGCAAACACGGAGGGAGCAGCTTCCAAAGCCTGAGGGAGGGTGCTCTGTGCCGTGGTACCTGCCCTGACCTGGGCGCCC